ATATCTTAGCAGCAAAAACCTCTACGCCAGGCGTCGCAGTCTCCATAGGCCGCGCGGCGTCGGCCCGCCGGCTGGCATTAGGTCGTTGTTAACAGGCGCATGGAAACAACCGTACGTTTATAGATATTTCGGGTTAATATTTCACCTGCACGAGTTTTGGATCGATAATGATATCGGATTGGTCTGTACAGCACCGCGAAGTGGTGCTGGAATCTGGTGGTGGAAATGGAAGAGTAAAGGTAAAAATCTATTATTCGTGTTGTTGTAACTGTTGTTTTGTCTGTCCAGAGAACAGCCTTTAAAGTTGTAAAAAAGATTCGGCTAGTCTAATCTTTGAACCTTACGAATTAATTTGAAAGGGATCCAGAAGCCTTACTTTAAGACGGTTGTTTTTGAGCGCACGCCGCCCACCGCTCAACGTTGCTCACAGCGACTTACGCCAGTCAATTTTAGGAAAACTGCAACTCAGGCCATCGTTTCTTGCCTCCCGAGATTGCGGGCGTGTTATCAGGTTTCTGCAACACACTCAACTGCTGAGGCTATATAGCGTCGCCCTCCTCTCACTCTGGCAAGAAAGGCGGATACGGCGGGGAATCGAACCCCGTACCTTTAGCTTCCCAGACGCGCAGTGGTAAACGCAGGCTAAACTATCGGCACCCGGCGCGGAGGCTCAAACCTTTTGATGCTATTTGTTTCATTAATCGATTCTGAAAAAGAATGAACACTCTCAGGCAAGCGTGTGATGGCCTTGCGCGCTAATGCACTGATTTGCACTTTCGACCCACTTATTCAACACGAATACCCCTTATTTCTTTACGGGAAAAGGCCCCGTTGAGAAGAACACCACGGGGCACATCATTGCTCCCGGTTAGGGAATGGGGGGCTATTCTGCCCCACCGCGGCACGTTCTTCGGCCGTCATTCTGGCGACAAGGGACGTGATGCCCTGACGGATCCGGACGTCCTTAGTGGGATACATCATACCACAATTATCCGCTCCCTGATGCGGGAGGCGTCGTCGTGATCCCCTGACGGATCCGGACGTCCTTAGTGGGATACATCATACCACAATTATCCGCTCCCTGATGCGGGAGGCGTCGTCGTGATCCCCTGACGGATCCGGACGTCCTTTGTGGGATACATCATACCACAATTATCCGCTCCCTGATGCGGGAGGCGTCGTCGTGATCCCCTGACGGATCCGGACGCCCTTAGTGGGATACATCATACCACAATGATCCGCTCCCTGACGCGGGAGGCGTCGTCGTGATCCCCTGACGGATCCGGACGCCCTTAGTGGGGTACATCATACCACAATGATCCGCTCCCTGATGCGGGAGGCGTCGTCGTGATCCCCTGACGGATCCGGACGCCCTTAGTGGGGTACATCATACCACAATGATCCGCTCCCTGATGCGTGAGGCGTCGTCGTGATCCCCTGACGGATCCGGACGCCCTTAGTGGGGTACATCATACCACAATTATCCGCTCCCTGATGCGTGAGGCGTCGTCGTGATCCCCTGACGGATCCGGACGCCCTTAGTGGGATACATCATACCACAATGATCCGCTCCCTGACGCGGAAGGCCTTCTGACCCGCACAGTTAACCCCAGATCGACACAGGAACCCTCATTGACGCAACAACATCACTGACCGCTGCAGGTGGTGAAATAATTGGTACATAGACCCCAGTTCGGCTTAACGGATCCATGCTGGAATTGGGATGGAGAGCCACTGTCCGGTACTGGATGCATTGACTGGTACAGGACCCTTCCGTTGCCTGATGTGGGCACTCATCATCATCATAAGCTGTCATGTTGCCTTACATTTTCAGAGGGCCCCGATCAATAGAAAGGTCCGTCTGTCATTCTGGATTACGTTCCCGTCATTGTTGAGCCGACATTCCCTTGACCGATTTGAGGCCCCCTGTTGATACAGAATACTCTGTTAGGTGCTGTGGGTCCCTAAACGATACAGGAGCTCCGACCAATGAAACACGCGGGTCCGGCCTTGTCCCTGCTTGGGAAATAGGCCCTCAGAGCTCACACCAACACCGAGGCCTTACTGGTCACCAACACCGTGAGGGTGTTGGTGATCTCTAGCCGAAATAGAGGAACACTCTGCCTCAGGGGTCCCATTGGTGCAAGAGATCCTCTTACTGATATTTGAGATCACGGCCTTATGACCTTTCGGACCCTTGAGCCTTCCAGTCTTTGGGCTCGAGAGACTCTTCTGCCCCGCTCCGGGCCCCGTCAAACACTGCTTCGACTTGAAGTCATTTGCCGCCACAGGACCCCTGTTAGACACTGTGACACACAGGGGCTCTTGTGTCTTGACCGACACAGGAGCCCCTGATTGTGTCAGGGACCCAAACATTGCAAATCGCGGGCCCCGGCCCGGCACGGAGCCAACAGTTCGGTGTTTGTGGCCTCTGACCGACTTAGACACCCCCATTATGTGATAGGTTTCTCAAACGGTGCAAGAGAACCTCTGACTAATATTTCAGGTCACGACCCTACCAGCTGTGCTTCTTTGTGTGACCTACGGCCAGTTCTTCGGGCCCGTACGTCCTCGAACCGGTCCTTTGGTCGTCCGTTCCGTTGGGCCGCCTGGGCCCCTTTTCGGGTCTCATCAAACACTTCCCTTGGTCGGCTCGGAACCCTCGCAAGCACAGATCAAGAGATGACGATTCCTGTCACCGCTGTGTCAGGTGATTGCGACTCCTCGTCTCTCGGTGTCTCCTCGGTGTAGGCACCGCGGTGTAGGAGATGGCGACTCCTGTCACCGCGGTGTCAGGAGATGGCGACTCTTGTCACCACGGTGTCAGGAGATAACACTCCCGTCACCGCGGTCTCAGGTGATGGCGACTCTCGTTACCGTAGTGTCAGGAGGTGACCCTCCTGCCACTGTGGTGTCAGGTGAAGGCGACTCCTGTCACTGTGGTGTCAAGAGATGACGACTTCTGTCACCGCGGTGTCAGGTGATGGCGACTCCTTTCGCCGCGGTGTCAGGTGACTGTTCGCTCGCCGAGCTGCCGTTGTGCCGGGGCTCGCGGGGAGCTGGCGGCGGTCTGGATGGGTCCGCTCTGTGACACTCCGACGACAACCACATCCATTGTTGGAAGTTGGGGAGTGGCTGTTGAGCCGGGGAAAGACGCTGGGAGTTAAGACGTGACTGTTCGGGAGTTGAAGCGGGATTGCGGAGAGTTGTGGTATGTCTGACTGTATGACTGTGGTAGTTGAGGCGTGACTGTTGGCGATCTGATGCGTGGCCTTATGGGAGTTACGGCGTGGCTGTAGGGAAGTTAAAGATTGACTGTTTGGGAGTGAGGCGCGACTGTTTGAGAGTTGGGCATACCTGGTGGGGAGTTGACGCTTGACTGCCACATTGTGTGTACGTTGTGCTGTGTTTGTTGTGAACGTTGTGTGAATGTTGCTCTGTGTCAGCATTGTTTCGTAACACTGCTGGCGCGCTCACATGACTGGATTGGACACCAGGTAACAGCTTTTCGAGGCATAGGCACTGTGGCGTGACAGGTTCCTTATGCGCATGACTGTTATTTCAACAAAATATTTGATTTTGCGTTCCACTGCACCGCAAATAGCCGATTACGCAAACCCATGTCTTCATGCTTGTGTTCGTGATAGGTGCATAGTTTTTGGTGTATTTGTTATTTTCAATAAATACTGCATAGTTGTCGGCTTTGTAAACATAGCTGAATCTTAGTGGCATCTATCCACCGTCCACATGATCACACCAGAAATCGCAGGTTGCGACATGGTCATTGACAGGCAGCAGCCTGCTTTCGGATATCCTCCATGGTTAGTCAGCTAACCGTGAAGATAGTCTGTAATAACTAAGAGTTCTGAGGACCCCAAAATCTCGACACAGATGCTCAGCTTGGCACGGTGTCTCAAAATTATGCGAGGAAATTGTGCGATTCTGGTGAGTGCTTACGAGAAAGTTCTGATAGCACGTAGTGTGCAGAACGGCACAGCGATTCCACCGAACGATTGATTCCCCTGCTACTGTTACTGTAGTAGCAGGGGAATAAATAGCTCTGCGGAATTTGTGCCGCTTCTGCCACTGCGACTAACGCCATCTACCAGCCCCACATGGACGAGGGCGGTAAGTGACCGAGTTGGCTCTGTGACAGGCGTTGGAATGACAACTCTTGATTTCTTATATTCTTCAGGAAACATACAATGAATCAAGTGGTCACCAGGAGTGGCAGCGGTAAAACTGTTAATGTCGAATGTGCCGATGACTGAACCGACTTTTTGTCACCAAATCGTGGACGGCGTCTTGGAATTTGCATATCGCACGAAGGTGTTCTCAGCGGGCCTCCGACTGAGTAAGCACTTCTAGCCTGCTTCAAAACTGGGTCAGTGCGTAACTGATGGTACCATGTATCATGTATCATGTGTCTATCATGTATGTATGTATGTATCACTGATGGTAGCATGTAGCATGCATGTAGCATGTCTCCGATTACTCGAAGAGCATGGCGATTGAAAAGACGGAATATCCGGCCACAGTTTTCTCCAGTCGGTTGTAACACGATTGGCTCTATCAGGATAAGGATACATGTGACGACGTTTTCTCTGGTTCTCCCCCTCACGCTCTATTGCAACCGGCGTTGTGTCGCGCTCAACAGCAGCACTGAATAATTTATAAGCAATAGTAAGTCCTTGCTCAAGAGTTCTTTCTGTCGTAATTTGCGTCTCATGAACGGGTCAGCCAGTGACCCCAGCCGGGCAGAACAGGTCGTCTTTGAAGCAATGTTCCCTCACTGGTGTCACCGGTCCGACCAGCTGGCCGGCACCGAGCCGCGGGAGTCCCCCTCTCCCGCTCAGGGGAGGTCAGCCGCTCCTCCACTGACCTTGTCCGCGTAAAAGTGTAACGCTGCGGGGATGGTGAGTGTACGTCTCGCCAAATATCAGCTGACCAGTCGGACCAGTATATAAGGCCCCGCTGACCGGTGTAGAGCATCACTAGATCCCTGCACTCCGCAGAACACACACCCTACTCCGAGATGAAGCTGGTGAGTGTATAGGTCTTTTAACTCCCGCCAGTCGACTGCTCTCTTTTCTGAGAAAGACGATCTGGCAAGCTGACAAGAGGCTCCCTGCGTTTAGCCGATATTGCTGGCTACCAGCAACGGGACCAGCATGGTGCTTTGCTTAAAGTGGACCGGGAGGGGAGATGTTAAGGAAAGGCAAGGTCGGCTTGCAGGTGGGTTAAAAGTTCGATGTCAACTGCAATTAGATCAAGCATCTGTAGGTTCCTTTTGGGACTTTTCTCCGTCTTGGAATGGACCATGGCACTGCTGCACTCCCCTCTTGGATCGACTCCTCTCGACAGTAACAGAACGTTTATGATGCGTCCTTAATCTAGCACATCTAAGTTTGGTGAGCCAGTTTATCTTATGCATGCCAACATTTGAACCACGATGCCGACAGGTCTGATGGTTTTTTTCAACCCGGAATTTTGAATGTCAAGATGCTGTCAAGCCTCGCATGCAAAAATAATTCAGTGCATGTAGCAAGTTTTCATTTTTTAAGTCGGTTCATTTTATTTCAGTTCATCGTTGCTGCCATCGTGGCCGTTGCTGCTGCCGATAAGTTGCCCGCCCCGCCCTCCTACTCCGCCCCTGCTCAGCCCTCCTACTCCGCCCCTGCTCAGCCCTCGTACTCCGCCCCTGCCCAACCCTCGTACTCTGCGCCTGCCCAGCCCTCGTACTCTGCCCCCGCTGCCCCCAAGTACGCCCCCAAGGTGATCGAGATCCTGAGCCAGGAGTTCGACCTGCGTGATGACCAGTCCTACGATTCCAGGTGAGATAAATGAACCATCCTCTCACGGGTAGTTACAGCTTTTATTATCTGGCAATGAACTTATTTATTGACTTATCATATGTATGGCACGCTCGCCTTTGCATTTTGCCATCGATTATTGCTAACCGGCCTCAGTTCAAAATTATTACAGTTTTGAATCGAAATGATAAACGAACATATCATTTTTACTACGCTGTTATTTTTTCGCCACGTATCTGTTATCTTTCGGCAACATGCCATCAAATTCTCACTCTGGAAATGCTATTGGTCAAGTTGTGACGGCCGCACTGCTGCCTGGCTCTGTTCTGTAGTTTGTCAGTGACTCGGCAATAGCTAAACCAGCCCGGCGGCACTTCATGCAGGCTTAATAAGCGTGATAAGCCGAGATGCCACGAATCTTCACTTAGTCACTTTAACCACACCGCCTTACCAAAAATAATCTGGAGAAGTGCATGACACAACATTCCCGCAGGATGAGGAATGGAATCATGTTTTGACGTAGTATATTGTAGTCCTCTGTTATAATGCTTCATATTTTCACAGCTACCAGACTGCGAACGGCATCTACGCCTCCGAGTCTGGCCAGGCTGTGGCCGGATACGGAGATGAGCAGAGCTACGCCGTCCAGGGCCAGTACAGCTACACCGGCGACGACGGTGTCAGCTACACCGTGACGTACGTGGCCGACGCCAACGGCTTCCAGCCGCAGGGTGACCACCTGCCGACTCCCGTGCCCACCGAGTACCCGACCCCGGAGGTGCCGGTGACCCAGGCCAGCTACCAGGCTGCCCCTGCTCCCAGCTACCAGGCTGCCCCTGCCCCCAGCTACCAGGCCGCCCCTGCCCAGACCTATCAGCCCGCCCCCGCACCCCAGTACCAGCCCAGATACCAGTGATTCTAAGTCAAGTACTTTCTGTCCACCGTTGGGATAAGAGCAGTATATACCGACTACGCTTATATGTTTATATATTTATCGTGATGTTTTACGGGAGTATTTTGTTTGATTGCGTCGTCTGACCGTTTTCAATACATGTGCATTTCCTCCAAAAACGCAGTGTGTTTGTTGAAGATGAAGGCGAGATGATGAATTGCACCGAAACGCGCTATATGAAATGCTATTGGTCATCGGTCTGTGTTGCTGGAGGAGCCCTGGTGCTCAGGAACTGGCGGGTGTCTTTCCGTGTGTGTATGTGATGGTGAGGGGTGAGGGAGGGGGTGGGGGCAATATCTTTGGAAGGGAAAGCTGGCAAAGACTGCACCTGTCTCTTGGTGACCTTGATGAAATACCTTGAAAAGATCCATAACCAACTTTGGCTGAATCAGCTGACTATTTTAGCCCGTCTTGGCTGTGGCAAGACTGACAACAGAGATGATCTGTATTACTGAATGATAAGCGGCTCACGCAACCACGCTAGAATTACAGGACCACCCACTTTTGGTTCGTCACTGTACGAATCTTAGCAAACATATACTGCACAGATGTCGTTTAAACTCTGCTGGCATCACATGGCTGCTGCCAAAGCAGATTTTTACAGCCCGTCTAGGATATCCCGGTCCTTAAGTTTGACCAAGACCAATGCAAATTCTGGAATAATTCAGCGTCAGAGGGCCTCCGATACGGGATGGAACAAAGCACTCCCCCGGGCCTCTAGCAGCACGTCTGGGAAGGGAAGCACGTCTTGGCTTCTCTCATATGCAGAGTGGAGGACTGAGTTTCTCTTGAATACCACAATGAGACGAAGCAAATGGCCAGCCCCAGAGCCTTTACGTTAACCATAACGACATCAAGATACCTGCAGTATGCTGCAGGGGCGATCGCACGGTCACTAAGCAATACGTTTCCACTATGAGCCATGTAAAAATTGACACACAATAGCCCCCGAGTGAGCCCATAATCACTCTATCTTTACGCACGTAAATTTGCATGCACCAATGTAGTATACAAATTGTCTTGCCCGAACGAAGATTGCAGGTTTCGTTCCGTATCCTGCATTGATGCAACAACATCTTCAACCCGACGCCTCACAATGCATCTCACGGAAAAGGCACCAAAAGGCTACGTGCACCGCGACCATAGGACTCATTTCACACGCCAAACGCTCACACAAAACACCGAATTTTTTACGCATGCAAACTACTCAAGAAACTCAACATTTTCGGAGGCTTTACTTATTCATGACCACGCACCAATGCTAAACAAATTCATGAGACTTTTGAATTATCTCCTTCGAGCAACATCGCCAATAAATCACACCGAAAGAAACATAACACGGATAGAACCACGCGGGACTAGGTCATCGGCATGCAGCATTGTGATTTATTATGTTGTTGGTGTAGGTCAGTGTGTGATGTTAAGGAGGCCCTCTGCACGGCTAGGGGATAGCCGGTTTTTGCCAGCCAAAGCGATGGCTAGTGTAATGCCATGATCATTTGTTTTGCTGTTTGTACGCTTGCGTTTTATATTTTGATTTTTAAGGTGTCAAATGCCAACACAAGATGAGGAGCAAATTTCTGCTTTTGAGGAATGGATGTAGGATGTATCCGAAGCTTTAAACTAATATGTATATGTATAATATATACGTATACATATGCATATATACATATATACATGGGATGTCGTCATGCATCGTAGGCGACTTGCAGGTATCAAGCCTTCACAGATTGGGTAAAAAGATGAGTTTCGTTAAACAATCAGGTGAAATTGAAACCTATAGAGAACCGACAGGCACCCATACTAAAATTTCAGTACCGGACCCGGTTGCTACGCAGTGAAGCAAATACGCACCGTATCTAAGCCGCCAAAAAAGGCTTATCTCCAGATCGGGGAAGGCCGAGACGATTGGGCTAGGTGCCGCGCGACTGGTGGGGTTTCGATCACTATTGCATTTGCTGGCTGTGCTTTGCTGCCTACCCCGTGCAAATAAATGTCTAATTATCATGCAACCTAGGAATCCAACGAAAACCCTGAGAAGCATCTTAAGACTATAGTGGGGCTAAAAAACAACGTGGCCGTTTTTAAAAAAATTTCCAACCTAATTTTCGGATTTCAGGACGTTGTGGTGAAAAGTTGGTGGTCGCAATAGCTGCATTCCGGCACTAGCTTCAAGCAGCAAAATTCCGAGCTTACAGAACTATGAAATTATATGTGTAAAAGCACGAAGCGTTGATAAGCCAGATACGTAACACGAGTTACGTAAGAAAGTCCCATAGATTCATAGTTCATAATGTAGTTGGATGACATAATTTTGTATTCGGGGTAACTTGATTGCGGGTAATTTGAGAAGCAGTTGGAACTGTAGAATGCAGTGCATCTTTGCTTGTAACGTCAGGAATTAATCATGCATTGTAGGGAAAAAAGTCCTAAATAATTGGAATGTGAGGACAACACGAATCCCTTCACCCAAACGTAGAGAAGGCAAACTGTGCAAAATGTTTGGCTGCATAAAATAAGCAATGCTCACGATACATGCCGCCTTTCAATAAGTGTCAGCCAAGTTAAGGCAGTTAACTGACTTCCGGCTTGCGGTGTAATTCGTGGCGGTCGGGCTGTAGCGTTGATGCAGTTTTGTATTAGTTTTCGCCGTTGTGGGCAATGTCGTGGCGACATTATTTTCATAAGTCCTTCACACATTGCCCTGGTAGCCTTCAGTGTAATGTTTTCTCCCTTGCTTTTGTCATCAACGAGTTAGTCCAAACGCCTTCCGTGATCATCGCGCCATAATTTACGCTCCGCCTCTTCCCGTCTCTGACCAGGACGTGCTGCCATCTGCCGGCTAGTTGTGAGGACTGACGGGACGGGAAACCGATCAGGCTTTGCGCTCACGGGAGCCAAAGAGTGTATCAGCGCTGTACTGTTTAGTTTTAAGCCGTGGGATTTAACTTAAAGTCGTAGAAGTTAGTTTTAAGTCGTCGTGTGGCCAGTTCACAAGGTTCGCTAGCGTCAAGGCATGTCATCAACGTGTTCCCGCGCGAGGAACTTGTTCGTCTCCCTCGACCTCCTCCTGGCGGGGCCGAGCTTCGTGGTTGTCAAAACCGCGGAAGGAAAAGTTTTCGGATAACGAACCGATGTGCCATCCGTCGGTACCTGGAGCCCCACGCCAGTGTAGTGGAGACAGCCAAACCGCCTCGTTCAGGAGTCCTCCTGGTGAGGCTGTTTGCCGAATACCAGGCCAAGGCCCTGCTAAAACTGAGCAGGTTCCTGGGGCTTGGTCACAGCCACCATCGCAGACCGTCTGAATGCCATCCAGGCGGTCGAGTACATCCCGGAGCTGACCGAGCTGTGGGACAAGGAGCTGCTGGATGAGCTGACTGAGCAGGGGCTGTGCGAAGTCGTGCACCTGCTCTCCCGTCGTTCCGGCCTGGGTCACAACCTCCCGGGTCCGGCCGCGTTTTAGAGACGACACTCGCGGGACATCTACTGAGGCTATCTCGTGGTTCCGGTCAGGGCCTGGGTATCCCCCCCTCAGCAGTGTCACCCGACCTGCAGCCGTTGCGCAAACCCCGACCACATCCGGGAATGCGACGTGGAAAACCCGCGCTTCGCCACGTGCAATGGCCTGCACATACCTTGCAAACCCCGCGCACGTACCGCTTGGCGCTTGCAGCGTGAGGCGCTGGGGGAGCGCCGGCAGTAGGCGGCGGCAGCGGGCCTTGTACCTGCACAACGAGAGCTCCCTTCTGTGAAGTGGCCCACGCCGCACGAGACGTACCCTCGTCCTTCGCTTCTGGCGCCAGCTCCGCGGCGGCGCCCCCTCCTCCCTCCTCCGTGCCCTCTCGAGGACCGCGAGATGCCGGGACAGCGCTCTGTCTCAGTACTGCTGGTGCAATAGGTCCTAAACGCATCACTATCTACATCATAACCTTCATATATAAGCATTATCACTCTCACATCGACTTAAAAAGAAAATTAATTCAAGACAATTTTTTTTGGAATGGGCCAAATATTCGTTCCTCGAATTTCAATCTTGACATCAGG